AATAATCTGGTAACTGCAGAAATCTGATTATGATTGGAGTATTGAGAGCATGTAAACACACTCAATAGGACAGAGATAAGACAGTTAAATTTGTAGTTTATTTTTATTTTTTACTTTTTTACTTTTAAACTGATTTATAGTTCTCTGTTCTTTTTATTTTTGTTTTTTTTTCTTTTTTGACAATTCCACATGAAGTTTTAAACTGACACTCATATACAGATTCAGTGAAGCTCAGTGTTTATCTGCTTCACTCATAATCAGTCAGTTATGGACAAAATGGATGCCAATGCGCTCCAGACCAAAGACGAAAAGGACCATCTAGACAATAACAAATTTTAGTTCCAAATTCTGACCCTGACCACAGCACAGTTTAGAATCAGTGGGGTTTCAGCTGATAGTCTGTTAACAATTTGAGCATCTGTAGATAATTTATATTAGGCTTCAGTGTACCATCCAAAGAAAGTCCATGTTTATTGTTATTATTAACACCATTATAGTTTGTAGTTTGGTTTATAGTTTGTTTATTTGACATGGACCTTAGAACAGTAGTGGAACAGTAGTATTGGAACTGCAACATACAACTATGTACAAGCACCAGATGTTTAGTGTTTAAAGCGAAATGCTAATTTAAAACACCTTGTTTACACCTGTCCACAGGAGGCCTTTTAAAAGTTGAAAATACAGTAAAATACAGGTGTGTCTATATGAGAATATTAAGTGTGAGAGCAATACTGTTCCTCTTTTAGCCATGATTAAACACATATTGGAAACAGTGAAGTTTGCATAGCATTTACATAAAAAAGAGCTGCATTTCCAGCTGTCAGTAAACAGTCTCAGTGCTTCTCTTTTAACGGAGACGGCCGACTGTCCGAATGAGGTTTTGTGCACTGTGATGCGACAGTTACCGCTCGATGAAGGCTGTGTGCTGACTCTGCTGGACGGCTGTTGTCTTGAAACATGTTCATTAAGCAGAGGAGGAGTGTGACCATTTCAGCTGGAATAGCTTATAAAGCTTTCAAAGTGCAACATACTGCGTTTCTCCGAGACGTCTCAGCGGTGCCACCTCACTGCGTATTTGCCCATAATTTTTATTGTCTGGTTATATAGGGATATGATGGGTTTTATAGTTGATTGTGAGGCTTGTTGTTGTTGTTTGTATATTTCGGTCCTTGCTTATGATTTATTTTACCTAATAAATTCTGATAGACAGTTCTTTCACTACTAGGTTTAGAAAATACAAAGACAATACACAAAACAAAAGCTAAAACAAGAGATTACAAATATTTCACACACAATAATGATCAAACGTCCATTTTAATTTGTCTACCCCCTTATTTCTGAACAATTTTTTTATTTGCCAAGTGAAACACACATTCTTGATTCCTTGTCACAACTATTCTCTAAGTTTCTCTCTAAGATATACGTCTATTTTTCATATTTGTCCCTACCTGTTTGTTTATTTAAACATACTTATTTCCCTAAGCTCATACTGGCTTTAATTTCAAACACCTTCTGAATACAGTCAGGAAGGACATTATTGTGTGCTTTGTACATTATCTGTGCAATAGTAAAGTCACCTACATTACAAAACTATAAAGCATGTAAATTAATAAATAGTGTTTTTCTTGGTTCATAATAATACAATCGATTTACAGTTCTTACAGCTTTCTTTTGCAGCAGGAAGGGAATATATGGAACTATGACTAAACGATACAGTATAAATAGTGACTTCTGATTCAAGATATCTTTAGTTTTATATTATATTGCAATGGTTTTGGACATTTTTGTTTTTTATGTGTTATTTCCAGCATAATTTATGGTCAATTATCACACCCAGAAATGTATTTTCATACACTCTTTCTATTTTAACATCACTGATAATCTTAACTTGATTTTTTTATTTGCCAGTTAACAAATATTATAAACTTTGTTTTAAGTGAGAATATCATGGCATACATGTAAAGCTAGGCTGTGCTAAATGGTACGTACTTTCTAATAAATCTGAAGCACTTTTTTAGATGTGAATCTAAATGATTCCTATTATTATTATTATTATTATTATTAACAGTTTGTCTAAAAAACCCTCACAGGTTTGTGTGCCTTGTGACCTCTTTCAGAACTTCCAGTCAGCACCTGCTTTGTTCAGGTGTTCTGACAGGTGTTTTGAGATTAAAGCAGGTGCTGACTGGAAGTTCTATGCAAAAATACATGAACAAATTTACATTTACAATTATGCAAATCGTTTTCAAGCACGAAGATTGTGACCTGCCACACCTGAATAGTGGTCTGTGTTATGCTCGGGGAAGTCTGTGATGAAGCAGTGTTTCGGGGAAAAGGGAGGGAACACCGTGAAGTGAATTAGTTCTCTACATTTGCTAGTAATATCTACCATTGCTAACAGAGCCCTTGCAACAAAACAGCATCTCGTCAGTGTCCAAAGAAACACATGCATCTCCTTTTTTGTTGATTTTTATTTTTCTGCATAATTCGAGTTACTGCCCTCTACACTGTGTGAAAATGCTGAATGGACGGACAGAAATGCTCCAAAACACTTGACTTTCTTTGAATAGGGACGATCTGTGACATTTTTGGTGAAAATCATATAAGCATATAAGTACGGTATGTAACTCTTAGAACCCTATGATAACACGGTGTAACGTTTGGTATTACAGTCATTTACAACCACAACTATAAAACCATTCAAACATGCAAAATGTTATTTTCAGGAGACCCTGGGCTGCTCAGGTATGTCATTACTTGACGTAAATGCTAACAGATTTTTGATCAGATTGATTCAGATCTTTATGAATTTCGTTAATTTTAGATCAAAAATGTCCTTGTCGCCTCAAGTTTTGAAAATTATACAGATCTTACAAACAAATGTCACCGCAGATACCTTTCAGAAATTGTTTGCCTAGTGAGCTGTGAGCTGAAAATACAACAATTTTGATGGTGGCTCATTCTGTTGCTTATTATTGAGTAAAAATATATAATTAGCATAAGACTGTAAAAAAAATTCCAAAAGTATTTATCAAACATCTTTTTGCAATGTGTGAAAATGGCCAACAACTATAATTGTTAAGAGTATTTTTAAAATGCATTTATCTGTATGTGTTATTATCTGTGTTCAGTTGTGTGTCTGCACTGTGATCTGCACTGTACTTTACATTAACCATGTACGTCTGCAGTCAGGAAATCAGCATTACAAAAAGAAATCTGGGTCCGAGCCCCCATGAGCGTCGCCAGTGGCGACAGTGGCAAGGAAAAACTCCCTAAGATAAACAGGAAGAAACCTTGAGAGGAACCAGGACTCAAAAGGGGAACCCATCCTCCTCTGGTCGACACCGGATAGTAAACATTGTTAGTATAAAGTATTATAGTACAAAAACAGGGTAAAGGTGGAGCAATGATTAATTTGAATAGTTTAGTTCATGCAGCAGCAGCAGCATCAGTGGGGTCAGGTTGTGTGGGTGAGGTTTGCACGGTGAGCAGCAGCACCCGATCAAGGCAGCAGAGGCAGCAGCATCAGCATCAGGATGGGCAGCTGTTCAACTCGGCAAAGGAAAGAGAGGAAAAAAAACACAGTCAGTTCTACAATGGGTGATTGGATCTACTACAACACTCGCTTCTGTCCTGTTGAAGGATCATTTGAGGCTCATTCGAGATCGTGAATACAAGCGGCTGAGATGAGCTTCTTCACAGGGTGGCGGGCTACACTCTACTGACAGGAGCTCAGGTGAGGAGCTCAGAGTAGAGCCACTACTCCTCCACACTGAGAGGTGCCAGTTGAGGTGGTCTGGGGGTCTGATAAGGAGGCCCCCCCGGCCGCCTCCCGGTGTAGGTTTACCAGACATGGCTGACTGGGACGAGACCACGAGGTCGTCCCAGGACCTGCTAGAGGGATTATATGTCCAAGTTGGCCTGGGAGCGGCTGGGGGTCCCCGGAATGAGCTGAAGGAAGTTGTGGGGGACAGAGTCGTCTGGAATTCTCTGCTTACCTTACTGCTACCGCGACCCTAGCCAGATCAAGCAATTTAAGAAGATGGATAAATGGAACTGTAAAAAATAACAATAAAATGTTCTGAACTTCATAGTAATTTGAGTGTAATATAGACCCCCTGTCTGCTTCTCAGAATGAAGTTTGTATTTTTATATTTTAAAATCAGTAGCTGCACTGATTAATTAAACAGCGCATTTTCACAGCGGTGAGCTAAAACTGTTGTCCGCTTGGGGCCGGGTCACTAAAACGATGTGCATCAGTGGTTTGATGTGTCAGTTATATGTATATATCATTGTCTCTTGCCTCATTATAGCACTATACGCTCTGTTTGATATAACTTAGCAACAACAACAAAAAAAACAAACTAAAAAAGGCAAATCATTTTGAATGATGTCACGTCACACATACACTGTTTAACGCTCCCCAAACTTAAAGTGGAAAATCTGAAATAATAAGTTTTCTTTGGGGACTATTTTGCCTCACAGCGCCCTGCATGTATCCCTCCACCATGAATGGAGTTTAATTTCTCAAAACGATCATAAAACAGTGTCTCAGTCATCAGGCAGTGAATTCATAACCATTTCATGTAGGAACTTTCTGTGAGGGAGCTTTTAGAGGTGGACGTCTGGTTCCTATCACCACCACTGTGAGCAGTTCTGACTCAGTAAGTTATTATGTGTCATTGAGGATTAATAGAAAAGTAGATTTTTTTGTCAGCGCTATTCAGAGTTTAATTTCAATGTCATTCACTGTCACTCAAAGCCGTCTGTTCTGTATGTTATCAAAGCCTCTACCACCTACATAATCTATACTTTACAGTTATAGAGAAAGGTGACCTAGAACTGACTGACTCTACAGAAGATGCAGGTACATAATGTTCCTGTATCACTGCAAAGGGTTCTGTATTTCCTGTGGAACTAATCCAGATGAGAGAGCAGTTTAGAGGACAGGAACTGTTTGTAGAAGATATTTACATCAAGCTGTTCTATTGGAGGGTGAAGCACAGACAGCTCAGAGGTGATGAAGGTTCTGGGAGGAGTGAAGATCAGCAGGAGAATAAAAACACCACCAAACCCCCCACAGCGTTTCACACGGAGACGAGCGCTTCACTTCTTCAGACTCGCTCTGTCCTACTAAACTGGTACGGCTTCTTTCTGTTCTTCATGTGGAGGTTCACTGAATTCATATAAATAACATCATAACGTACATTATCAGAATTTCATCAAATAATGATGAATTTCCTGCACTTTTTTATATTAAGAAGGAATGTACGCTCTTAAAGAGCTGGGCTGAAAACATCCCAAATTTAGGTAAGATGGTTCTTCAAGGGTTCTTTAGTAAAGGCAGTGATTCCATATTGAACTATGAACACTCAAAGAAATATTTGCATGATTTAATGGTTCTCTGCATATGAAATGGTTCTCTTAGACTGATGGAGAATGTCCTGTGTGTGATTCTATATAGAACCTTTTTGAGCCTTTCAGAACCTTTTTATTCTTCTATAGTTACATTTTCAAGCTTGTGTCAATAGAAGAACTCTTTTTGGTGATACATAGAACCATTTACCACACGTCCTCCATCAATCTGAAGAACAATTTCATGATGCAAAGAACCCTTTAATCATTTAAATATTTCTTTGAGCGTTCATGGTTCTATATAGAACCACTGTCTTTACTAAAGAACCCTTGAAGAACCATCTTTTTTAAGTGTTTAAGTGTGTAAAGTTTGGAATCTTTTGTGATAGTAATAATTGTTGTTACTTTGATCCATAATAACAGAGTAGATTGAAATATTGTAAGCGAGACAAAGTTGTTTAAGATGTTTTATTTAATATTTTAACAGCCAGAATATAATGAATGCTGTATTATACGCTATAAGTCATAGTTATTTCAAGGTAAGTTTCTTGATATGTTTCTAAATTTCTTGGTAAGATGTTCTACAGCTTTCTCAGTCACTGTAGAATCTCCTTCAGCTCTGTTCATCGTTCTGGACTCATCTATCATTTCTACAGTGTTATTCACAGCTGCATATTAATTAGTCGAAACATGAAGCTGTAAAGTAGCAGTATAATGTTATAATCGTTATAAACATAGCCGTATCATTAAATTAAAGTTATGTTAATGAATGAATGTTAATAAGCGATTCCAAACTTTTGAACTGTAATGTATTTTGGTTAATGTAGTTTTTTTTTATTTTCTTTTTTAACTATTTTCATGTTTTTTCCTGTAAAAATGACTAAACTTCTTAGTTTTATGATTCTCTCACCAAAGTAAATGTGCTCTGCCAGAATCCCACAGATCTTTGTCCCCTTAAACCATTAAATTCCCCATAATTCACTGTGTGAGATGTAAACAGAGAGATTCAGAGCGGTTTGGTGTGAAATGGTTCAGATGTCTTTACAGTGGTGGTGATAGGAACCAGGGGTCGCCATGACTACAACACAAATATAGACATTTTATTTACTATCCAGAACCACCAGTGAACCTACATGAGTCTTCTGAGTTTATATGGAACGTTGATGATGGAAAATAGTGGAAAATCTGAAATAATAAGTTTTCTTTGGGGACTATTTTGCCTCACAGCGCCCTGCATGTATCCCTCCACCATGAATGGAGTTTAAGTTCTCAAAACGATCATAAAACAGTGTCTCAGTCATCAGGCAGTGAATTCATAACCATTTCATGTAGGAACTTTCTGTGAGGGAGCTTTTAGAGGTGGACGTCTGGTTCCTATCACCACCACTGTGAACAGTTCTGACTCAGTGAGTTTATCTAGAACAGAGCGTTTCACACCAAACCACTCTGAACCACTCTGAAAGACTCTGTTTACACTGTTAAATTATGCTGAAATGTAGAAAATTTGGTGGAATTGTAAAAGATACACGAATAACTCATCACTGCAACCTGATTCATGAGTTCTAACATTTTTATGTATTTATTTATTGTTGTAGATTTCTTGGTCAGTCCAGCATCATGTCAGCACATCAGTGCGGTGGGTCACTCTTGATCATCATGTGCTTTATTTTGACGAGTGAGTGCTTCTTTTCTATTAAACTGAACATTTATTTTAGATCATGATGACAGAAATGCTGGCCTGTTTTAGTAGGATATAAATGTATTAGGATATTTTCTCAAAGACTGGATAAACAGAAATACATATAGAAAGATTAATATTTATGAAATAAAGATAAATAATTAACTGCAAAGGTTTTTGAGAAAATAAGTGAAATAAATAAGTACAATAGATTAAATCTTAATCTTAAGAAGGTTATGAGAAGGTTTAGCTTAGTTGTTTCAGACATCCTACTGAAGACATTTGGCTCATTGACATGATGTGCAGTGCTCCACATAAAATTAATTTTATCTTCAAAAATGTCTAAATGTGTCAGGTTGTGCAACCATCCAACCATATTTGTTGATTAAGTAAACTATCAAAAAAAGTAATTTAGTTATAAAATTCTAAATAAAATAGTTTGGCCTGATTTTGTGTTCAAAACTTTAAAAGAGCACAACTTACTGAAAACTTTGGTCCGCATGTTCTTACTTCCTCAAACGTCAGACGCCACAACCAAAAACAAAGGATTTTTATTTTTTCACATGCTTTTACGAAAGAGGGCCAGGGAATTGCATCATAAAGACCCCAAGTGACCTTCATGGTGTAATGCCAAGGTCACAGATAGTAAAAGATAGTAAAAAATGTGAGTTTTGTGTTTGAGTCGTGGTTAGAATGGTTACGTTTACCATGTCAGGTGGTCTGACCTCAGGAGAACCATGAAAATGTGGAATTATTATAATAATGTTTGAAGTTGAAGGACAAGTTTCTACAGACGTCTCAGTAGATGCCTGTTTAATTTAAATTAGTCTGAAAAGTCAGGCGGCTCAACCAGTCAGTCAGATGGAGAAACCAGACCTGCACTGTTTAATACGTGAAACAGGCAATTAAAGGATTTGATAACATTCACTATATTTGAGATAAAAAATATACAGAGATAAAAATGCAAATATATAAAATATATATGCAGACATAAAAATTCACATCATGTCCTTTTTAATAAAATTTAATAAAAATTGTAACTTTGAAAACCTTATTTGTCACTGACCCTTTTACTGTAGCAATGTTTAAAGTGTTTTATTGAAGTACTGAGAAGTAACAGGTTAGTTGTTCATCTGCTCCAGGGATCTGGGAAGTGAGGGGGGCTGCAGAATCCCGATTTCAGGATTGCAACTGCTAAAAATAATAATAAAACACTGTGAACGTTGTAGTAGTTTAAGCGTAGCGTAGAGCCACGTGTTTGTTTTAGAGCGAACTTTGTATTTTTTTTATATATTGAAATCTTCAGTAGCTGCGCCGTTTACGTGATTTTCACTACAGTAAGCTGGAAACCTTTGGCTGATTTGCGGACATGTTGCTCAAACAGTCCCAGAGCAGCCTAATATTGTTTTTAGACTTAAAAAGAATTCTCTAACGTAATGAAGTTGTTATCAACTGTTATATCTCACTCTCGGAGTGTGTTTCAGTGTTAAATCTCACCGTCTAACTGTGCCATATATCAACAATCTGATTGGTCATCACTCAGTTCATTTACATTAAGTGAGACCAGAACAGAGCAGAGCGATGATGCGCGTCAGTAGATTGATGTGTTGGTTATTTGTATTTATTGTCATTACTCGCCTCAACAATAATCTGATGTTGTGTTTGATGTAAATTAGCAATAAATAAATAATCAATCAACTTAAAAATTAAGTTGCCTGACATCATCGGTTACATCCAGGGGTGGACAGTAACAAAGCACATTTATTTGCGTACTGTACTTAATTACATTTTTTGAGTATCTGTACTTTACTTGAGTATATATTAATTTTGGAAATTATGACTTTTGCTCCACTACATTTAAAAGACAAATACTACACTTTAAATACTGACGGTTCCTGTCACTCTTGTCAGTGGACAAATTTTCTTTTCTAAAATGTGATATTAGGCCATATTTTCTTCGTTAGAGGAGACAAACCAATCACAGTAAACTGCTCTTGTGCTGTCAGTCAAGTTCAAAGTGTGAACTGCATTGCTGTAATGACGGCTACGACTACGGCAGATAAATATGATAAAGACACAGATAAAGTTCCTCACCAGAGCATATCTGAAGTCCATGTTTGAGTTTATTGAAATGAAGAAAGATGTGTATCGTTTTAAGTGTTCACTCTGTTTACCATACAAACTTCATTAATGTTGTATTGCGACCGATGTAACTGGTTTTCGAGCGAACTGGTTCTCCTTGTAGCAGATTCCACAAGCTTTTCTTCTACAGGTTCTGCAAGCAGGTCAGTGCATTCAGTAGGTTGTTTCAGAGTCATTAGGTTCTGTAAATGAATATCTGCATATATATCTGTAACTTTTGTTAAACCTACATACAATTGTAAAAAAATTTAGTAACAAATGCAAATAGATGTATTTTTAAAACATATTGAAATACATTTCTAATATTTTTTTTTCCCCATATGGGATTACATTACACCCCAGACAATACAGAAACTCTAGATGACCAAACAGGCTTGGCTAGCATGTAATATATCATATATACTATTCTCCTATCACTTAATAAGCTAGCGATTTCTTCCAGGGCCGTTATAATCATCATTCATAAGAAAGAACCGCTGAACAGTTTGTCTCACCTGTAGCTTTATGACGGCTAACTTAGTTCTGTGGTCGCCTCTGTGGTGGCAGTCAGTTGATTAAATTGCCCTCTTGTGGTTGAAGCTGGTACAGTACGCTAATTCTTAGCATTTAGCTCCCCAGAGAAATCTTTTTTCCACTTGGTTCCTAAAGGGTGAGAAAAAAAATTCTGCTGCCCCCTGTTAGCAAGCAAGCCAGCAAGCAAAGTTTATTTATATAGCGCTTTTTACAACAGGTGTTGTCACAAAGCAGCTTTACAAGGAAATGAGCATTACAGAAAGAAATCCGGGTCCGAGCCCCCATGAGCGTCGCCAGTGGCGACAGTGGCAAGGAAAAACTCCCTAAGATAAACAGGAAGAAACACTGAGAGGAACCAAGACTCAGAAGGGGAACCCATCCTCCTCTGGTCGACACCGGATAGTAAACATTGTTAGTACAAAAACAGGGGAAAACAGGTGGAGCAAATTATTAATTTGATTAGTTTAGTTCAGCAGCAGCAGCAGCAGCATCAGTGGGGTCAGTTGTGAGGGTGAGGTTTGCACGGCGAGCAGTGGCACCCGATCAAGGAAGAAGAGGCAGCAGCATCAGACGCACAGGATGGGCAGCTGTTCAACTCGGCAAAGGAAAGAAAGGAAAAACACACAGAGTCAGTTCTGTAATGGGTGACTGATTAATTTGATTAGTTTAAATGATTGATTAGTTCAAATGATTCATTTTGATTAGTTCATGCAGCAACAGCAGTTAAAACTGGCTTAACATGCTAAGTGTTAGCCTTTTGTGTGTGTGTTACCAGAGCTGGTTATGAGGAGTCTGGCCTCTTCCTATTCCCCCCGTTATATCAGAAACAGGACTGCTAAACAGCAGAGGGCGCCCGCGAGCAAGTCCTCACTGAGTGAATGGAGCTCAACGGCTAAAAACGAAAAGTTAAAATAGTTTCTAATTACTGAACCAGAACTTTCCTTTAGTTTACCCATCTGGTGCACCTCAGCAGTACAAACTGGAGAGAGAAATCTTTTTTTGGAGGTTTCTGATGGCTGAAATTGCACAAGTTATGCTAGTAATGTTTTTTCAGTTGTTTTTGGTGTTTCGTACAGGCAGAAAAAAATAAATCATGTGGAACGTAGCCTCAGGAACTCTTTCAACTTTTTTTATCTTAGCCTTCAGTGCTTCCGCAGAAATTACCGAGAACTAAACATTCCGCAACCATCTTCTCTGCACAACAACAACCACTTGTCATTGTTGCTTTTGCTGTGAAGAGAGCTGCTTTCTGCACCCTGGTTGCGCACGCATCTCTGTGAGGACGCTGCACAGAAACGCGTCTATAAATTATTCCGCATTTTCTTTGAAATAAAAAAGAACGGTGCCTATTAAAGAATGGAAGTGTGGATCCACTGTAATGATAACAGGTTAAGAGGATCTCAGACAGGACAAACTGGCATAAACTGACATGAGTACAATATATTGAAGCTTTCACCGCTATTAAAAGAGACGCAGCTTACACAGGAACACAGGAAGTGGGGGGACTGAGGGGGCTGCAGCACTGATTTCAGAACTGTAACTGCTAAAAACAGTTATAATACAGAGATCTTAGCCTTTGTAATCATACGAGCACAGCAAAGACTCATGGGTGCTTGTTTTCGACAGGAGTTCTTATTTTCCCAATTTTATGTAGATATTTTCAAAATCTGCAGTAGCTGTAACTGTTTAAGTTAACGAAGGATTTTCATTACAGCGACCTGAACTGCTCATTGTCCATTTTATCAGCTCCACTTACTATAGAGGTGCACTTTGTAGTTCTACAGTTACAGACTGTGGTCTGCTGGAGTTTTTAAACACTGTGTCCACTCACTGTCCACTCTATTAGACACTCCTACCTTGTCAGTCCACCTTGTAGATGTAAAGTCAGAGACGATAGCTCATCTGCTGCTGCACAGTTTGTGTTGGTCATCCTCTAGTCCTTCATCAGTGGTCACAGGACGCTGTTGGCTGGATATTTTTGGTTGGTGGACTATTCTCAGTCCAGCAGTGACACTGAGGTGTTTAAAAACTCCAGCAGCACTGCTGTGTCTGATCCACTCAGACCAGCGCAACACACACTAACACACCACCACCACGTCAGTGTTACTGCAGTGCTGAGAATGACCACCACCCAAATAGTACCTGCTCTGTGAGGGTCCATGGGGGTCCTGACCACTGAAGAACAGGGTAAAAGGGGGCTAACAAAGTATCAGAGAAACAGATGGACTACAGTCTGTAACTGTAGAACTACAAAGTGCACCTATATAGTAAGTGGAGCTGATAAAATGGACAATGAGTGTAGAAACAAGGAGGTGGTCAGAATGTTATGCCTGATCTGTGCATACAGAGCATACATGTTCTGATGTGCCAGTTAAATGTATACTGTGACCTCTCACCTCATTATAGTGCAGTATGACGGCAAATGACTTATCATTTATATTTACTGCTTAAATCTGCAGCACCCACAGCCTAAAACATCTTCCTGCATGCCTGAGTAGTGGTTCTTTACTGTCCAGTTGTTGTTAGCCACAGCCACAGCATACAGAAGCCAAGCATTTTCTCACACACTGACCCACACTTCCCCCCGGGCCTCCCAAGCTCTGCCCTTCACAATAAGAGTCCTTAGCAGAATAACCCCATAAATAAATGCTGAACAAGGCATTTCTTGAACAGGCTACAGTATGAAGGATTTTGTTTCAAAATGCATCAAAAACCACTTTCAAGAACTTTTCGTGAAATTTGTTGTTGTGAATAGGCGTACATACAACAAATATCAGCTATATAATGATTGATACTATTTTTATTAGAAATGCTTTCCATTATCCATTATCTAATAAACCTATTATTTCTTTTCAAATACTCTTCATTCCTGAAATTGTTACAAATTGATAAACAGCATTTTGGAATGAAACTGTTCATTCATGAGATTTTACAGAGATTTCAGTTCTTACGGAAACAAAGTGTGCTGTGCTCTCGAGATCTCTTACAGCTATCTTTACTCATGACTTAACACTTTCAACACTTTCAACACTGCTGAAAGCTCGGTTAGCGTCTCTGCTACTGAGCGCTGATCGGTTAGCGTTACTGCTACTGAGCGCTGATCGGTTAGCAGTTACTGCTACTGAGCGCTGATCGGTTAGCGTTACTGCTACTGAGCGCTGATCGGTTAGCGTTACTGCTACTGAGCGCTGATCGGTTAGCATTACTGCTACTGAGCACTGATCGGTTAGCGGTACTGCTACTGAGCGCTGATCGGTTAGCGTTACTGCTACTGAGCGCTGATCGGTTAGCGTTACTGCTACTGAGCGCTGATCGGTTAGCGTTACTGCTACTGAGCGCTGAACGGTTAGCGTTACTGCTACTGAGCGCTGATCGGTTAGCGTTACTGCTACTGAGGGCTGATCGGTTAGCGTTACTGCTACTGAGCGCTGATCGGTTAGCGTTACTGCTACTGAGGGCTGATCGGTTAGCGTTACTGCTACTGAGGGCTGATCGGTTAGCGTTACTGCTACTGAGGGCTGATCGGTTAGCGTTACTGCTACTGAGGGCTGATCGGTTAGCGTTACTGCTACTGAGGGCTGATCGGTTAGCGTTACTGCTACTGAGCGCTGAACGGTTAGGGTTACTGCTACTGAGCGCTGATTGGTTAGTGTTACTGCCAGGGTTGGGATAGCTACTGAAAAATTAGTAGTTAGCTACTTTGTAGCTATTTTTGTAGCTGCTACTTTTTAGTTACTTTCAAAGCGCGACTGTCAGAATGTTTGTGAATCTCCACCTGAGACACCAAACTAGCCCAACTGTGAACAAGACACTGCATTTAATCATGTGCCAGAAAGAAACGCTGCAAATATACAAAAGATCACCGAAAAGTGAGTTTAAGTGACCAACAATCAAACTTACACAACCAAAGGCGTGATTTCCAACTAAAATTTAGACTAAAGGCAAAGTCAATCATTCTGGTTTTTTTTCAAACAAAAATCTACAAAAATAGCCGAATACAAACCAAACAACTTTGTGCAAAGCGTTGTCAATAGCTGAAATAAAACTGCTCCAATTTAAATACTTCAACAAGGTCTGTACAGACAGACACGACATTCAGAGTCCTTTATTAAACTTCATTAACACTTCAGCCTCAAAATCCTCATCAGTGACTCTGGCTCTGTTTGGGGTGAATCAGGCCTGAATAATCTGTCCACTGCTGCAGAGCTGCTGCGACTCCACAGCACAACTAGATTTTTATGTAAAATAACATAATAATCCTCCTTTACTGTAAAATCGTTACAACACACAGTTCTAACACAGTTTTCACAATAAATGGTCTTAAACGCTGGAGTTAATGTAGAACTGCTAATTCACCCTTTAACACTGCAGACTGATGCGCTGCTGGACACACAGCAGTGCACATAATAAGAAGGCAAAGAGAGAGATTTAAGACAAACATCAATAATTTGGAGATGAACAGACTTATTTGTATTTATAATCACTCCAGCTGGTTTCCTCATACATTTAATCTGCAACACTGAAGTCGCTTCCCAATCTCCTGCTCATCGTTCCAGTTGTCCCGTTCCACCTTAAATGGCGCAGCAGTACAATCTGGTGCCTCAGGCACCATTTAAGGTGGAATGGAACAATTCGAAAGAGAAGCTGGCGATTGAGAAGTGACTTCAGCCTCATAAAAAGTCGAACATTGAGAGACGTTTTACAAGAAACTCACGGAAAAGTTTCCCAAGATGTGCTGATTGGTTGGCGCGATCATCTGTGTTGTTTGACTTGAATTCTTTACTGTTTCCTTTTCAGACTCCAGCAGTGCTGACCCGTGCAATAGCTACACTGTGCTGGACGAACCTTGGAGAGCCACCAACTATTCCGACACCATGAATAAGAAGTGTGATGACTCTGTTAGTTGGGCTGGCTGGTACAGGCTCATGTATAATGGATGGAATGTCCAGATGCCAGAGTCATGTGTTAATATTTACATGTGTGGCGCTAACGCCCCCCTCTGGATGAGTGGCACTCATCCACAGCTGCAGGATGGAGTGGTCACCCGCCAGATTTGCGGTCACTGGGAAGACAACTGCTGTTACTTAAGACCCAACCCTATTCGAGTGAAAGCTTGCCCAGGAAACTACTACGTCTATGAGTTCGTCAGCCCGTCTGCCTGTTGGTATGCATATTGTGCAGGTAATGTTTTTGAGATATTATATATATAAAAAAATGTTTTTGCTAACTATGCACACATCATTAGACCTTGTCCTATCAGCAAGTGGGTGTTCAAATGTAGCCTCACATCACATCACAAAGTCTTCAGGATGTCTGAACTGGAAATATCAAGCCTTCACATTCATTCAAAACATAAACAAGGTAATGATCTACCACCTAATAGCTTGAGGCGTTAACTACAAATTGGCTCACCCACAGCTAAACCAGCTCCTAATATGATACACTGTATAGGTCAAACCAGAATGTAAAAAAGGACAAAAATGAGTGAAATAGTTTTACATTGCTTTTGCCACCTCATCCTGCACTTCAGGAATACAAATAAGTGAATACAGTACATGAAGACAGAAAGCATCACCTGCCTGTCACCGAACCTCCTGGACGACACTGCTGCATACAGAGACTCTGAATGTTCAATCATAGACATCACTTCACCTTAACACTGGATAAAGGTAACAGTACTGTAGCCTTTTAATGACAGCACATTAGCAGTGTATGGCTGTATATTATTTTATTATTATTATTAATATTATTATTGTTGTTATTATTATTAAGTCAGAGTCAGAGTCACTGGTGTTGAGGTCAAATTTGAGCCCCAAGTCTTTCTCGATTTTCTCGAGTCTACAGTCATCAAATTCGCGGCTTGAGTCTGACTCGAGTCCTAGTCATGTTACTCGAGTCCACATCTGTTAATCATAGACATAGCTTCACCTGCCTCACAAATTATTTAATCTTAGACACTGTTTGACCTAAACACAAACTATTTAATCATAGACATTGTTTCTCCTGCCTCAAAGTATCTCATTATATACTTTATGTCTCCTGCCTCGCAATTCTTTGAGTGCTTCTCATATTCATATTAGCAGATCATCATTACAGGCTTTTCTTTTTCATGAACACCTCTCCTGTTAACAATATGCGCAATATATCATAACCTGCTGCTGTAAATACGACAAATCTGTTTCATATGCTATGTAAATATGCAAATAGATATACTTTATTTCTACTCTTATACCTAACTTATGTCTATTTTATTTCTATTTTTTATTTTCTGCATAGTATATGTAAGTTTATGTGAAATTATCACCTATCTATCTATCTATCTATCTATCTATCTATCTGTCTGTCTGTCTGTCTGTCTGTCTATCTATCTGTCTGTGTGTCTGTGTGTCTGTCTGTCTATCTGTCTATCTGTCTATCTTCCTGCTTTAATGCTTGCTCTGCTTCCCCTTTTGTGTTTTCTTTTTTGAGATGTATAGGAACCTTGAGATTGTGAAAGGCACTATAAAAATGTATGGTATTATTTATTATTATTATTATTATCATTGTTGTTGTTATTGGTATTATTATTATTATTATTATTATTATTGTTGTTGTTGTTGTTCTTATTATTGTCATTATTATTATTATTATTATTATTATTATTATTATTATTGTTTATTCATTGATGTTTTGATGCTCATGGTTTTCTCTGTGACACACTTCTATCAGTAAATCTCAATGGTAACAGTGACTGATTTTCACCGATCTGTTTCTGTGTTTCTCTGAAAGGCCTCTAACAGTCGTCATCTGTTGTCATTGCTTAGTGTACACACTTCTGTCCAAAGACTGTTTTTCCCTTTTCTCTATTTTCTAGATGTTACATTAATTATATAACTTTATTCTTTGTTCATATTGTTCACTCTTGTGTTATTGTTTCCTATCCAGTGTGGTCCAGAGGAGGATGGGTTCCCCTTTTGAGTCTTTGTTCCTCTCAGTGTTTCTTCCTTTTGCTCTTAGGGAGTTTTTCCTGCCACTGTTACCGTTGGCGACGCTCATGGGGGCTCAGACCCGGATTTTTCTGTAAAGCTTTGTGAAAACAAAGTTGTAAAAAGTGCTATATAAACAAACTTTGACTTGAATTGACTTTACAGCTACACATCCTTTCAGACCCACAGCGCTTCGACTCAATAAATGAAATAAAATAAAATAAAATTCAATAAATGTCAAAATGTCTATCTAATAACTGCTAAATGTTTAACATGGCTGCTAACCAGAGGAGCTAGCCTGCTAACGGTTCTGCTCACCACAGGCGATGTTGGAATCTGGGAACTAAAGCACCGACACAGGTTTAGATGGTAATGATTCAAACCTGAGGGGCTGAATTCAAGTGAGAGTGAAAAAAAAGCAAAAGAAAATAAAACCTGTTTGGCTCTTTAGCCTCCTAGCTAACCTAGCGTTAGCTTAGCAAGCAGGCTGCAGATCTGAACTGCACCACACAGCGCAGAACAGGTTTGATTCCAACTCACTCACTCAAGCTCAGCTGATAAAAACTACAGGTGCTGGAATGACAGGAGGTTGAAGTTGAGCCTATTCTGTGGTGTCTGGAACTGTATAGCATGTTAGCTAACATAGCTAAAGATTAGCACAAATCATTTTGACATGATGTTATCATTTCTGACTGCAGCACACCTTATTAACCCTCTACCACCCAGCGCTGATCGGGAGTGTCAGGTTGATGTTTTGAAGATTAGCTACACATTTTTTACATTTAAATTCTATATCAGCAGCTAATGGGAGCTTTTTGGCTTTGTCGTTGTCACCTACTCACGTCACTTGCTGATAGGATAAGCATCTTTTGTTTGAATAGCCTTCAAATATTCAAATGCAAAAGGTTTGACTGACCTTTTTCAATTATATTGTTTTAATAATTGATTTGTTTTTACTGTTTTGCGTTAAAGATATTACAACACTAAAACCGGCGCTCTACCCTAAGATAAGTATGTCATCCTGATTTTGGCCTCTTTACTCAGAGCAGTTGCCTAATTTTGTTTACATTTTCATGACCATATTTTTGGCTAATAAAAACATTTCCCTACCTTTCCAAAGAGCAACTTGTTAGACTACGACTTTCATCAGCGGAGGACTTCAAACAGTCGTCCACCAGTGAGATTTTTTTGAACCAGGTAAGTGACAGTAACCGTATAACATGATTAAACATAATTAAAGGGCATGATCATGTTCAGTAACTTTAACTTACGTTACCTTTCATATCATCAAGGACTCAAATGATAACTCTATTTAAATGTATTATTCCAGTAAAAACAATCAACTAAAATTACATTATTTCAGAGTCAGCAGACTGCTATCAGGCTAACAGGCTAACTGGCTCCTCCAGTAATAATCAGACTGAGGCTTTACTGTAAAATATTTACTGATGGATTCACTGTAAAACTGGCACATATAAAGTAAAGAATATGCTGCCTGTATGTTTGTTACAAGCTTCAAATGTCTGTTTTTAAGCTCAAGCCAGAAGTAGTATGTAACCTAGAAACTGAATGTACACCACTGTTAGCTTGCTGTTAATGTAGCATTGAAAATCCCATAGGATGCTCATGGAAATTAGCAATATCAAAGTGGGGTCAATCAGATAAACAAAGGCTACTTGCAAAATGAAGATTTTTACAATACACTATATATAACGATATGCACGACTGTCATGTGTTCATTGTTAAATGAAAAATGAATTACATTCTTTAAAAACTATGCATCTTATTTATTGATCAGTCCACTTGTCTTTAAAGTAACTGTATAAAAATGATTGATAGATTTCTTGATCACAAATACAGTCATTAGTGAAGCCCTAATCAAGTTCTAACTTGTTGTTGCTGCTGTTGTTTCTTTTTACAGCTGAAAGAAGAACTGCTTAGAAAAGGCCTTCCTACCAACATCACTCTACACCTGAAGAGCATCTCAAAACAGAAGAACGTAAAATCAGAGACACGGGAACCTGGAATCTGTTAGAGCTCTTAGCACTCATTACTGATCCCTGTATTGATCAAGATTCAATAGGAGGTTAAGGGGTTAGAAGTTGTAGTTGTAGAGGATGTACAGTTTTATGAGGAAGCTCCGGAAAAAGTGCATAATATAATAATAATGAATTTTACTCAATGTAAAAAATTAAACTTCAACTCAAAATCATGAGACAACTTCTTACACTACTTTTTTTTTTTAAGTTGACTTGAGGAAACTAGAGTTTACTCAGCTTACACCTCTTAGTTTAGTCAAAAATTCTACTCACCTACATTCTTTAGTTTTGTAAACAATGCAGAATTATTTTTTACGTAATTTCCACTTTTTCTGTTACACAATCTCAGGAGGCATTTTCTCCTCTTGGGCTCCCAGTTTTGGATGACTGGTGCTTCAGTGGGCCTCAAACTCAAGATATCTGATATTGAGTGAACGCTTAAACACACACTGAAAGTCCCCACACATTATTTCAGAGGTGTGGACTCGAGTCAGATGACTTGGACTTGAGTCTGACTCGAGTCATGAATTTGATGACTTTAGACTTGACTCGAGAAAATTGAGAAAGACTTGCGACTTGACTTTGACTTCAACACCAGTGACTCGGATTCTGACTCGGACTTGGAAAGACGAGACTCGAAGTGGCAGAAACGTGGACTCTACACAGTCGATTATTTTTCATGGGAATTAATTTGTTTCCTGTTGTCGTTGTCAGTTATTAGTTATTATTTAATCAGTAACATTGCTAATTGTGCGTTCTCCTCTTTGGACGACTTCACCAGTAATCAGTATGTTTTCTCATCAGTGAAGCTTGTTGTATATTAATCATAGCTTAAAGGAACGGCTTCTTTCCAAAGTTCATGAAATATTTCTCATTTTTACTTCATTCCAAGGTCCGTCTTACATTCTCACCTGCATGTAAATCAGCACCTGTATATCTTTAATTTATTGACGTGTTGATTCCTACAATGTTGATTGATTGGATGAATGATTGATAGATTAATGAATAAATAAATGAGTCAATCCTTCTACAGATATGTGCATATATGAGTTTCAGGATGCCTGAATTTTTTAAGTGTTTGTATCTTGACTAAAGCTAAAACATGAAAATGGTTCACTTAACAACAAAGCAGTATGAGTTTAATATGGATGGGTGCAAAACAATGGAAACACAGCATGAAATACTCACACTGATTGATTGTGCATTAACAAATTGTGTGTTAATTCGTCTTTTGCTGCATATTTTAACAGTTCCCCTCCACCTTTTCCTTCAGTGGAAGGAGACCACTGCAGGACCACCATAGGACCACCGCTGACCAGATATTATATGGGTGGTTGATCATTTTCAGCAGTAACATTCACATAAGTGCTGCACCAGTACGAGTGTTTCTAAAGTTTTTTGCTGCGTCTCGCGGAGTTTACATGCACTAAGAAAGCTGATTACTGAGCTAAAATCCAGTCTCTTTATTGGATTTATTAATCAGATGTGTAGACCTTACTCCGATCTAAGAAATCAGAGTGTGTTGTTTACATGACCATTTGAATAATCAGATAACTGCAGAAATCCGAATATGATCAGATTATTGAGTTCGTGTAAACACACTCACTGACGTGAAAAACTCCAGCGGTAACGCTGTGTCTGATACAATCATATCAACAACACACACACACTACCATGTCAGTGCTGAGAATGGACCACCACCCAAATAAGATCTGGACAGGTGGTGGTGCTATGGTGGTCCAGAGCGGGGCTGATAAACAGATGGACTACAGTCTGCAACTGTAAACCTACAAAGTGCACCAACATGGTAGATGTTTCTGATAAACTGACCAATAAGTGTGAGTATTTCATTGTGTTTGTTCTTCTACACACTGCCTGTGTGTTTGACTTTACAAAAGCAATACATAAACAAACAAATAAACAGAGATAAGCTGCTTTCACATTAAAAACGCATTAAAAACTGCAGTTCTGCACCGCTCAGCGGTATGAGACAATGTTGCATGCAAACGTTGGCATGGTGACGGCTTTACCAGGGCAAATGGGTGATTATTACTGTGTAGAACCGTTCCCTTCACTAAAGAACCCTTGAAAAAACACCTTTTTTTCAGTACTTCTTTTAGTTTAACTGACAAATCTTACACAGTCCAGCTTCTGATTACCAACTCTTTAATGGAAAATTTCAGCCTACAGCAGTTTAGCCCTGCCCATTTAGCCTACAGCACTTTAGCCCCGCCCATTTAGCTACAGCAGTTTAGCCCCGCCCATTCAGCCTACAGCAGTTTAGCCCCAACCATTCAGCCTACAGCAGTTTAGCCCCACCCATTTAGCCTACAGCAGTTTAGCCCCGCCCATTCAGCCTACAGCACTTTAGCCCCAACCATTCAGCTACAGCAGTTTAGCCCCAACCATTTAGCCTACAGCACTTTAGCCCCACCCATTCAGCTACAGCAGTTTAGCCCCACCCATTCAGCCTACAGCAGTTTAGCCCCAACCATTCAGCCTACAGCAGTTTAGCCCCACCCATTTAGCCTACAGCAGTTTAGCCCCGCCCATTCAGCCTACAGCACTTTAGCCCCAACCATTCAGCTACAGCAGTTTAGCCCCAACCATTTAGCCTACAGCACTTTAGCCCCACCCATTCAGCTACAGCAGTTTAGCCCCACCCATTTAGCCTACAGCAGTTTAGCCCCACCCATTTAGCCTACAGCAGTTTAGCCCCACCCATTCAGCCTACAGCAGTTTAGCCCCGCCCATTCAGCCTACAGCAGTTTAGCCCCACCATTCAGTCTACAGCAGTTTAGCCCCACCCATTTAGCCTACAGCAGTTTAGCCCCACCCATTCAGCCTACAGCAGTTTAGCCCCGCTCATTCAGCCTACAGCAGTTTAGCCCCACCCATTTAGCCTACAGCAGTTTAGCCCCACCCATTCAGCCTACAGCAGTTTAGCCCCACCCACTTAGCCTACAGCAGTTTAGCCCCACCCATTCAGCCTACAGCAGTTTAGCCCCGCCCACTTAGCCTACAGCAGTTTAGCCCCATGCTGAAGTTATAAGCAGTGTTTTAGCCTGAACTGCTTTTTGAATAAGTTACAATACAGAGCAGCCAATCAGAGCCAATTTACATATACATGTCTTAAAGGCACAGCACCAGCTAATGTTAATTTTACATTATTGTTTATGTTTTATATGCATGCATATGTAAATGCTGATGTCTCATTACTTTTGTTACTGCATAAAAAACTGTAAAGGAAAAAAACTGGCGAGAACTTCTGTGTTCCATGGTTTTGTTAACAGCGCTCATTTTTGTAAATAAATAAACTTAAGTATTGTTCTCTACACCTGTGTTTGTCTAATGTGGTTGTGATTATGTGGAACCAGTGTGTTTCTGTCATGACTGTGGCTTGTTGACCAGAGGTTTCTCATTAGAACGATAAGATGCTGATAACAATAATGATATGTTGTTTTATCATAAGCAGTTTTAAGGGTCATAAAGTTATTCCTGTCCCTTTAGGTTTCTGTTACTTGTCCCCCTACTGTAATTCAGAATGTCTCTTCATGCTTCAAAACAGATGCTTTACGTAGTTTTTGTAAACAATCAGTTTTACAAACATGAGAATTCATGTAAACCCATTAGGAAATGCTGATCACCTTAAAAGAGTCCTGCTGTGGATGTCCAGCTCCTGCCACGTAATGATGAAGTTGGCCACTCATGATGTCCATGGATTCAGCGTCCTTGAGTGCTCTTGTTTTGTTTGTCCTTCCACTGAATCCCATCTTCTGAGAAGCACTTGTGGAAAAGGAGGCTGTGTAAAAGCAGAAGCTGGCCTTGAATCTGAAAGTAAAGACTTTTTATTATTATTATTTCAATAACTTTTCATTCTATGAGTAGATACTTAACCTCAAGCAGCCTTCTTCTGCTCTTCTTGCATGTGATTGCATCAGGAGTTTCTCCAAGAAAAGCAAGTTCTGATTATTTCAGGAGGTCTGAGCAGTGAAAGTCACTGTTAAGTATCTGCAAATGTTTGGCCACAAGCTCATTTATGAATTTAAAGAACTTTTAGCCTTTTACACGGTGCTCTTTATATATAATACAGGCAGCACAGAGGTCTCGGGCACGGTTCTCACGGCTGGACCCTGAGCACATCAATGAGTGTCATTCAGGAACAGCCAGGAACAGAGTTTCAGTTTTCTGTTTTCACATCAACTGGCAGTGATTTAGTCTCAGACTGCAGTTTATAACTTTAACACTTCAACTACAAGAGTTATCGTTACTGGGGAGGAGCCAAAGATGGTCTGTTGGTCTTTTTCAAGCTCTAGGGATGCAAACAAAGCAGGTAACAGCTTATGTGTCAACACAGGAACATCTTGATCCTTTTCCAAGAATCTATTTCATGTTTCTGATGTTGTTTAGTTCTTTCCTAAAAGCCAATTGTGGCAGTTTTTCTAAATATCTGCTTATTTAAATTATTTCATTCAGGGTGGTTTGGTGGTGAGAGGAACCAGACGTCCCCCTCTAAAAGCTCCCTCACAGAAAGTTACTACAGTAAATGGTTATGAATTCACTGCCTGATGACTGAGACACTGTTTTATGATAGTTTAGAGAACTTAAACTCCATTCATGGTGGAGGGATACATGCAGGGCGCTGTGAGGCAAAATAGTCCCCAAAGAAAACTTATTATTTCAGATTTTCCACTATTTTCCATCATCAACATTCCATATAAACTCAGAAGACTCATGTAGGTTCACTGGTGGTTCTGGATAGTAAATAAAATGTCTGTATTTGTGTTGTAGTCATGGCGACCCCTGGTTCCTATCACCACCACTGTAAGGAACTCTGGCTCTCTACAATCATTTCACATCAAACCACTCTGCCATTATTTATGCAGAATTTTTAAAAATTATGGAATTTCCTTTTAATACCAGCAGACCCAACATATTATTATGCTGTTACACACATGAGCAGACAGTTTAAGAGTTGGAGCACTGCATGGTGTTAAAACATAATAGATATTTTACAAAAGACACTGTCAAAAAGCACCTTTACAGAAATCCAGGTTTAGACCTTTAAATCTTAAACACCATAACCGGCTTTCCTCTGAATGGAGATTAACGTGAAGTTTATATTAGTAACTCAGATTTGTTTCTCAAATCAGATCTTTTGAGCTGACTGTCCACTCTGTTATCTGCAAGTGATCAGATCGGATTTGTGTGTCCAGACATCACCAGCCGATCCACATAGGATGCTGTAGTAACGGCATCAGTAACTATGTAGTTAAACTGTGTACAAAATGGTTTTATGTGTGGTTGAGTGTGAGATGCGGGAACCTGGGTTTGCTGCATAAGAACTGCTCAGTACTTTAAGGTAAGTTCCAACTCAGTGTCCATTAATTAGTGTTCACACGAAAAAAGGAAAAGAGAAACTGTGCCACAGAAAATAAATAAAAACAAAGAATTAAAAGCAGTTTCTGGACATACAGACTCTAGCTGACGTGTTCTAGTTCACAAATAAAATAAAATACATTTTCCTGAGTTCAGTACAGGATCTAGTCTAAAGCCGTAATGCCCATTACACATTCAACTCCACAAACAGGTCGCTTGCCCACCATCCTTTAGACTGGAAAAGGATCAAACCCCTGACCCTAATCAGATTGGGCTAAACCACTGCTGAGAGCAACAGTCTAGGTCTATTCACAGAAGCATCACTGTTGACAAAATACACAAGAACGTCATTTGGCCATTCATTCATTTTACCGCTAAGTATTTTCTCAATCGCTTATATTTAGCATTTTTTTATATTAATATCA